GAATTAATTAGGATGTGTACGTGTATTAGGTCTCTGTTTGGGATGTAATAGATTAGAACTTGTATGTGGGCCTGACCCACCATTATTTTTCAAGTGTTCGTCAGTTCCAGTCTTAGAGATTGTTCGTGCCGAGCAGAGACAGTCATTCACTCTTCCGACTCTACATAGGACTCGTCTTCATTAGTTACTTATTATTTTTATTTCGGTTCAGTTATTCCAGTTAGGATATTATTAGGGGTCCACAGGATGGATTCCCGAGTTGTAGTTTAATTAATTACTAGTATCCGAAGATTGGAGGATTTTATTATTGGATTTTTAATTATTTTAGGATTTTAAAATAGGGATTTATTATTTAGTTTCCTTCAGCTTATTATTTATTTATTCTTTATTATTTTTTTTGTATTCAAATGCTTGTTTAAATATTAATTGTTTGATATCCCTTGTATTCTGTGCTCGGACTTGATCACCTGTGGCTCTAGAATTGAGAGGTATCACAGTTTTTATAAATTTAAACTTGACCCAAAAGATTTTTTTTGAACCGCACATTCACTACATCAATTTTAGCGTTCACGAGCGGCTGGTCGTCAGTAAGCATGGCTTCATAGACTTATCTATGTTATCTTTCTGGAGTAACATATTGCTGAGTCTGAAAGTATCTGGATTTAACTTCCCATGAATCTGGAATCCATTGCTCATCCTGAGAATCCAGAATTAATATAATCTGTTTATATTTTAAATTAGGAATATAAAAAGTTTCTTCTTTTAGAGCTTCCTTCATTGTTTTCTATGAAGATCCCACCACTTTATTTGGTGTTAGAAGCAAATCAGATAAATGCTCCAATGCTAGATATTGGTCATCCTCAAGCACTGTCACCCAAGAACTGTCTAGAGCCCACTCCGAACGAGCAATTTGATGGGTTGAGTCTCATGTCATGCCTCCGTAACACCTCAAACACATCTTGCAGGTATGTAAGGTGATCATCCTTCCTCATACTCTTAACAACCATATCGTCAATATATGCCTCTATGGATCTTCCCATCTGGCCTTTGAAAATTTTTCTAATTAGCTTCTAGTAGGTGGCTCCTACATTCTTCAGCCCGAAAGGCATCACTTTATAGCAATAAGTGCCTCGCTCCATCACAAAAGATGTTTTCTCCTCATCATCCGGATGCATAGGGATTTGGTTGTAGCCCGAATAAGTGTCCAGAAAGGTCAAACACTCATAGCCAGTGGTTGCATCTACCATCTGATTGATCTTCGGCAAAGGGAAGCTGTCCTTAGGGCAGATCTTATTTAAGTTGGTGAAATCAATACAGACTCTCCACTTCCTGTTCTTTTTCTGAACCACTACCACATTGGAGAGCCAACTGGGGTACTGAACCTCTCTGATGAAGCCCGCCTCTAGCAGCCTGTCTATCTCATCGGCTATGATCTGATTTCACTCTGGCACAAACCTCTTTTGCCTATACCTAACAGGTTTGAAGTATGGGTCAACATTGAAGGAGTAACATGATAGGGAAGGACTTACACCTGGTATGTTTAAATGACTCCAAGAAAACACGTCTGCATTCGTGGTTTGGAGCTCGACCAACAGTCGTTTTTCCCCCTCGGTCAGCTTTAACCCTATCTTTATTGTTCTCTCGGGCACCAGAGGATCAATCTGGACTTCCTCCAACAGTTCTTCAGGAAGGACCATTGGCTCTACCTCCTACCCAACTACTATTTTGGGCTAGTAGGACGGACACCGCCTTGCCCTTTCCACTAGCGTTGAGGGTCACGACATAGCACTCCTTCGTAGCCACCTGGTCACCATGAATGTCAATCACCTCATTCCCATCCGGACTCAAACACCTCATAACCTAGTGTAAAGTGGATGGGACTCTTTGGACTCGGTGGATCCAACCCCTCCCCATTAAGAGGTTGTAAAAAGTGTAGATATCCACTATGACAAAATTCTCTTTCAAGTTCCTCCTCGCAGCACAGACCAGCAGCTCGACCACACCAATGGGTTCTACTCGCTTCCCATCAAACCCTACCAAGGGATTCCCTGTGGGTCTGACCTGCTTTGGGTCTATCATCAATTGCTCGAACACCACCCTCGTTATGATGTTTGCGCTACTACCTGGGTCAACAAGGACTCTTTTGATCAAGCAGTTTAACACCATTAAGCTGATCACTAGTGGGTCTTCATGTAGGGTTTGGACTCTTAGAAGGTTGGCTTTGTTAAATCTGATTAAAGCTGTATCGCCCTCCTAGTGGACCGTGTTAACACTACCGATCTTTCTCATTATGTGGGCTTGATGGAGGCGTGTCCGTCGTAACTCTTCTGACTCGTCCTCTGCCTCTGGTTTGCCATGGATAGCATTTATGACTCAGACCGGCTGAGCGTCTTGGGGGTTTGGCCTCTGGTTCCTCTTTATCTGATCAGCCGGATGGTTCTACTCCCTTGTTTGGCCTTGAATATAATTGGCAAACTCTCTTCTTGCAATTAGCATCTCAACCTGCCTCCTCAGGTTTCTGTACTCATTCGTTAGGTGTCCAAAGTCGCTATATAACACGCAGTGCTTGGATTGGTCTCTTTGCTCGAGTGGTTACTTGATCGGTTGGGGTGGACGGAACATCATCTGATTCCTCTTCTCATGGCCTCTTCTCTGCCCTCCAATGGGCCACTTATGGTGGTCCCACTGAGGGTTTCTAAGTTTTCATTCTAGCCTTGGATCTGTTCTCCACTGTGACCATCCTTGTCTGCCTTATGTTGATAACCTCATCCTCTTCCAATTGTACATAACTTAATGCCCTAGTATTCAGTTCATCCATAGTCTTTGGCATCTGCATAACTAAGTTTGTGTAAAACGGAGTCCCTTGGATAATGGCAAGCTTGAACACCTGCAATGCTAATAAAAGATTGCGTTCAATCACCATACTCTTCTCCAAATTGAACCGGGTAACGAAGGCCTGAAGGCATTCGCCCTCCTACCGCCGCATAGTGAATAGACATGATATGTCCTTGTCCATTCACATGTTGCTGAAGTACTGGCCTATGAACGGGTCGCAGAGAGTTCGAAAACTTCCAACTGTTCCCCTCAAAAAGTGCTTGAACCAGCTGAGTGTCGTTCTGGTGAGGCTCATTGGGAAGACTTTGCATATCAAGGCGTCATCTCCTGTATCTAGGGCCATTTTCAGTTAAATGTGGTAAACATGCTCAAATGGGTCTTTCGTCCCGTTAAACAAAGTAAAGACCGGCATCAAAAACTTCCTTGGCTTTGGTGCATTCAAGATCTCATCCATGAATGGCGAGTCAACCGTCTGGGCTGAAGTCTAAAGAGCCTCGTTGTCCACTGGTGGTGCCTTCTGCTCGGTTTGTTGCCTTCTGGTGGCCCTCTGGTCATGGGTGCTCATCGTCGACTGACGCATATCGTCGAACAGTCTATCTGCAGTTAACTCCTTCCGCCATGAACGAACAGTCTCGTTGTGCTCAACCTTTTCTTCCTACCTGAGTCTTTCATGATATGGGTCTATGTGAATGGAACCTTCTTTCTCTACTATACGGTTGATGTTTGGCAGCACCCTCTCTCATCCATTACTGGTGGTCAAGGGATCGGTGGAGCCTCTCGTCGTTCCAATCCGGTTGTAAGCTCTGCATTCTCTCACCGTAGGGTTTCAATCATGTTCATCAACTCGTCGTGCCTGGCCTACTGCTCGTCCTCCTGCTGACGGAAGCCTTCTCCTCCAATTATTGTTCCCGAACAAAGTTGTGTCATTGGATCTACTCTTCTTTCCCACAAACGACGCCAAACGAAGATAAAAGAAATTGCTCTCTGTATTATGAAAGATCTATTACACTTCACTCAAGAATCCCCCATTTCCGTCTCTCTAACTTCGATTTATAGAAGTGCACATTTGTCCTAAAACCTTCCCTAAAGCTCTCAATCTTTGGCCATTCTTCAATGGGCAGTCTCTAGGCTTAAGTCAGTGGAGGGCCCCTTTCATGACGCTTAAGAGGTTGGCTAGGAAGCGGCTCAATAGAGCTTTGGGCCTGACGATCCGTTCTGCAGGTGGACTAATGGTCCTTCTGAACCCTGGGCCCAGTGGACCGGACCGTATATGGCCCGGTTCATTCTTGGTACCCCCATTTGTCATTGTCCAGTATTCTTTTAAAAAAAAAAAAAAAAAAAAAAAAAAAATCATAACAAATAATTTATATATTTTTATATATAGAAAGAGTATGAATACGTTTTAACAAGACTTACAGAATAAGAGCATGGGGGTCTATACTATGCAGTGTCTCTAAGAACATGTTTTTAGTTTAGCCAGGCCGGCGACCTCGTTGCCATGTCTAAATTAAGAGGGCGGCTACCCCAAAGTAGGGCTCAAGGTGGGTCTGTACTATGCTCGTGCTTCTAAACTTTAAGCCCAACCCCCAACCCTCTTGAATGGTCAAGACGAGTTGGCCCGCCACAGGCTTAGTTCAGGTCTAAACCCTCTATTGGGCTCCAGGCCTTGGGCCTTTTTTTATTATTACTAGTAAAAAGAAAAACACACCCACAAAAGATTAGCAAGATAAACCATGTTGAGTAGGTTTGAATAAAATTGACATATTGAGAGTGAGTTTGAATTGAAACAGGAAACAAGTCCCCAAGTTAAACGTCTCTCTCTCGATCTCTATCACAAAACACATTGCAACCATTTATTTCTTCACCTTTGCATTATCCCAACACCAAATGATTTTTTTTTTAACCTGTAAATAAAAAAAATTCGGTAAATGTCGTAACACCAAAAGTTGTTTAGAAGGATTGGGTAATTGCACTAAATAATTTATGCTTCTTTTAACTACTTCTCCTGTTCCACCATTGAAGTCTCTTTTTCCTCACAGAAATGTGTTTCAACAGTGTCAATGTCAAAAAGATTGCACTCAGGTGTAGCGTAGTAACAACTTTCAAAAATAATGGTATCATTAATGATACTTTTAAGAGAAAAAAAAAAAAAAAAAAAACAGGGATAGAAAGAATCATAAAAGACACTTTTGATTTGGTTACAGAAATGATTACATGGTTTTTCCTTAGTCTTATTCTATAAATGTTTTTCCTCACATAATGTGTTTTACATGGTTCGACACAATGAGTGACTACGTCCACGGGCAAAGATAATATCAAAGCTTCCATTAAGTACAATTTGGCGCGTACATCAGAAATCTGTATCACCCTTTTCTCTACCCTTTCCATGGTGCTTCGCTTTTCTTTATCTTGATCACAAAAAACAGAAATACAAAGGGGTGACTACGTCCACCTGCAAAGATAATCTGAAAGCTTCCACCAAGTACAATTGGGTGTGTACAACAGAAATCTGTTTCTCCCTTTTTTCTACCCTTTCCATGGTTTCTCTAATCTTGAGCTCAAAAAACAGATATACAAATGAAAACCAGTTGGAAGCAAGCTGATGTATTCATGGTGCTTCTTCTCTTATCTTGAGCTCAAAATTCAAAAATACAAAGAGGTCGTGTTTAGATGTTTAATGAAAACCAGTTGCAAACAAGCCGCTGTATTCACCATCTATCAGAAAGAAAATTAGAAAAGACGTGTTAGTCAACAATAACTTAGTATCTCTTTTATACTGAATTGCACAAGTTTAGAAGATATATGGTTTACCTGCAACTAGTTTAGTTTGAGAATAATACGAGATTATGTTTGCCATCATCACACCAAACATTAATGATCTTCAACGAATTCGGTTTAAGTGAGCTGGTTGTTTGCCTCAGTGACTTTAATATATAATGATCTTGTGTATGTCTCCTCAACCAATTCTTTTCCAATGACACTCAACGAATCCGGTTAAAGTGAGCAAATGGCTCCGGGTTTGCCTTTGGTGCAGGTTTTGCCACTTCAGGAGTCCCAAAAACATTCCAAAATCTCAGTGTTTCATCCCCTGCTGCAGAAGCAACCGTACATCCATCTGGGCTCTGAATTATTAAACAAGAGAAATCAGAATCTGATATACAACAAAAGAAGAAAAAAAATGCTAACTGTTAACAACAAACTTTCTGAAAAATAAAAATTTCAGATTAAGTTATTACTTGAGCCATGAAAAGAACTCTGGATGTATGACCAGTAAGCTCTGCTACTTTCACCATTGATGGGTATTTCCAAAGAGTGAGCTGATTCTGAGTAAAACCATGAGAACTAAGTAGCTCACGCTCATTCTTGTTCCACAACAGAGAGCAAACCTGAGAGCCTGTGTCAACCGAATTCAAGCATGCTCCAGTGTGGGTGTTCCAAAATTTTATACACCCGTCACCTCCTCCTCCACCAGAGGCCAGCAAGTTACCCTGGAATGGGCACCAAGCAAGTGCTTTCACGGCAGCTGTGTGGTCTTCGAGCCTGTGAAGCCACTGCGTTGGGGAATTAGAAGAAGCCACTGATCTGTCCCATATATGGAGGAGATTGTCATTTCCCCCACTTGCTAATTGCTGGCCTGAGGCTGACCATTTTAACCCACAAACTTCTTGATGGTGTCCCCTATAGGTTTCAACTATATGTGATCTGACTCTTACATCATTGTTGATGATTTGACCATCCATTCCTCCTGTTGTCAAAATATGATTGTTCCAATCCAGGGACCCAATTCGTGATTGATGACCACCTCTCAAAGTTCTCAACTGCAGAAGTTACACCATAGTTAAACACAGTATTAGCAAAACAGAATTTATAAAAAGAGCTAAAAAGAATAGGTAACAATAAAATATGTAAAAAGACTCAAAAGAGTATAAACCTGTCGATTGGCTGTAGAATCCCAAAGATATACTTCAGAATTGTTTAAGCCAACAGCTATGTGTCGGCCATCAGAAGCCCATTTTACGCTTGTCACAGGTCCATTTTCATCATCAAGGGTGACAAGTTCTGAGGTAGAACCATCAGAAGCATCCCATAGATATACCGTGTTTCCAAGAGCAATGGCAAGAACATTGCTGCTACCCCAATCTAATAAATTCAAGTAGTAATCATCAACCAGATCTGGAGCATCTAATGTCCTCTCAGAAGTCTGCAAAACCACATCAACACCATTCAAAATCAATTATAAGAATTATGCCTAAGAACATCCATTCAATAAATCCTAATTGCAAAAACAAAAGACACAAGGAGATTCAAATTTAAGGCAGGGGTCCAAGCTATCAAACCAAACTTCTAAGTTCACCCTAGTCACTTCAAATTCAACAATCCACACACTATCCAACCAACAACATTTCTAACTAAACAGGTAATAAATTTGTGTAATTGGTAATGTCCCAATATCCTTATAATTGATTTTGATAATTTTCAAGTTCACTCAATATTGGGAGCATCTTGTTCACTTTCCAGTGCCCATTCCAAATCCAAATTCAACTAATTCTTTAATACCATGAATTTCAAAAGGCATTACATATCAATAAAAGATTAGAATATGTATCCACCTGGGGAATGTACCGACGGGGCTTTGTTGGTTTGGATTGGTGAACAGATGAGGAGAAATTGTAGGGAATTGCCTCAACAGGAATGGGGGGCTTGTTCTTAAAAGCCAGTATACGGGTCCGGTTCATGTTGAAGGTTTCTGCCAGTTGCTTCTGGTATGCTTCACTGGATGGAGAGCTCACAGCCGGGTTCTCTTTGCCTTTCCTCCCCTTAGTCAGCATGTAATGCGCGTAGTCGAAATCTATTGCAGACCGATTGGGTATGAATCTATCCAACTGTTGACGCAAACAATAAAATTACAATAAGTTCCACATAAACATATGAATTTCAGGAAATGTATTATAAAAAAACCATTGCTTCATAAATCCAATTATGAAGAAAACCCTATTTCCAAGCAAATTAAGCATGAAGAGAATTGCAACAATGAAAAGGAAGAAACTCACAATAAGAACCAGTGAGGCCTACAAATATAATTAGAGCTTGTATTAAAACAGAACCCTAGCTACAGAAATATAATTATGAAAAAAAAAAAAAAAAAAACCCTAGTTCTACAACCAAGCAAGAATCCTTGTTCTAAATATTTACCCTAATTCGGATATGAAATCAAGAGCAGATAAACCCTAATTTCAAAATCATGTCCAAAATTAACCCTAAATTTACCTATAATATTGAGAAACCAAACCCAAAATTTGACGCAGGTGAAAACCCCATCTAAATTTAGGTCCTAAAGCAAAATACATGCCAAATATGAATCCTTGTTCCCTATTTTGGATATGAAATCAAGAGCAGATAAAGCCTAATTTCAAATTCATGTCAGAAATAAACCCTAATTTCAAAATCATGTCAGAAATAAGCCCTAATTTTACATATAAAATTGAGAAACAAACTCCAAAATTTGATGCAGGTGAAAAACCCATCTAAATTTAGATCATAAGCAAAACTCATGCCAAATATGAATCCTTGTTCCAAACATTTACCCTAATCTGGACATGATATCAAGAGCCGATCAACCCTAATTTCAAAATCATGTCAGAAATAAACCCTACATTTACACATAAAATTGCGAAACAAAACCCCAAATTTGATGCAGCTGAAAAACCCATTTACATTTAGATCATAAAGCAAAAGTCATGCCAAATATGAATCGAGTGCTTATGACTATATGAGAGAATATGTCTGCTTTACATACGTTTTGTCGAGCATTTCTCCTTTGCAGAAACTGTTCTTGAAGAGGGCATCGAGACTGTGTCTTGCTTGATGAAGAGATCCTCCCAGATCCTGCATCCATAACGTTAGCACCAAAAAAAAAAAAAAAAAAAGATACCTACAAAATCAAAAGGGAAAAGAAAAAAAAAAAACCCTGCAAAACAGAAAACCAGATTAAAGAAATAGAGTTTTAGAGAGAGAAAACAGTGAGATAAAGAGAGAGAACACGATGAGAAATCGATGGTGGCTTCGTTGATTTTTAGCGAGTATTGATCAGAGAGAGCGATGGTGTAGTATCACACTGATTAGACAATGTATTGCAAAAATTAGGGTTTCCTTTAAGCTTGGTGTGCCCGTTGCTTACAGAATATTGCAGAGGCTGGTCGGTCTCGATATTAGAGCCGTTGGAAATTGGTTTGACAAAATACCCTGGGTGAGAACCGTTGGCTGAATTCAGCCTTCACTGAAACAATGTGATAAAGATTTTTGCTCTCATGTTCAAATGGGCTCATACGAATATATATATATGTGTGTGTGTGTGTGTGAGTAAAAAAAAAAAAAAAAAACCTCCGACTATTGCTCATTTGCAACTAACCCCACTAAACTAAAAATTACTCACTGAACTATTAATTTGTTACAATTAAGGACAAATTCATCATAAAAGTCTATTTTACCCTTTCTCATTAAATTTGTCATTTCTTATTAAATTATTTTCATTATATTTTTTCTTAACTAAATATTAATTATACTATTTATCTTTATTTTATTATTATTATCAATTTATCATAAAAATGAAAAAATAAAAAGATTTGAAACTACCATTTTCTAAAATGATTAACTTATTATTAAAATTTTATTATTTATAATAATTTATTATACCCAGTTTTTTTAAAAAAATTACTATAGAAAAATACCTTCTTTTTCATATATTATATTGATGAAAATTTAATAAATCACTTAAATAAAAAATACTTTCTTTTTAATGTAATATATACATGAAAAATTTAGAAATTAATTAAATTGTTTTAAAATTTTCTACTTAAGATTTTTATTTAAACAATTGATGTCAAAAATTAAAGGTAAATTTATGCAAATTAAATGAAGAATATGTCATCAAATTAGTATGAATTTTTTTCATAATTTATTTCAAAAAAAAAAAAAAAAGATTAAGTATAATTCAATAAGAAAGGGCATTATGATCATTTAATGAAATATAGTTTAGGCATTGGTGAATTTTGCAACAAAATGTGATAGTTCAATGGGTATTATGAACAAAAAATAGTTCAGGGGGGTTATTTGCAAATTCAAACATAGTTTAGGGGTTTTTTTTGCACTTTACTCAATATATATTTGAACCCTCAGTTTAGGTCCTATATAATTGGGCCACAAGTCTTATTATCTCTCACACCCTTCTAATGTAAAGTTTTTTTTGGGGGTAATTTGCACAGACCTCCCCAATGGTTTGCCATAATTACACGGATCTCCTTTCTATTTTGGAAATTTACACGGACCTCCCTTTCGTTACGGTTAACGCTAGTCAACGATGGATTCTGCAAATGTCATCCACTTAATTAAAATAAATACCCATAATACCCTTATCCCTACCAATGAATGTTTTCTCCTCTTTGTTTTCTCTCTCCTCTTTCTACCTCCTACCAATTTAGGTCATGTCTTGGGTTGATGATGGGATTTGGATAACTCCTTATCATTTGGGAGATGATGCTTACTATCAATGCCTGATGATACGAAGGTAGAAGATTGGAATTAAGGTGGACATGGCTTGAATGGTTCATTGGTTCTTCATTTCTCTTCAATTTTCATATATATTTGTGAGTTCTGACTGAATTTTAATATGAGATAAGCTTCTGAATTCTAGCTTAGTTCTTTTTTCTGTTTGTATTTAGATTTCTTCATATATGTAACCAAATTGGGTATATATCAATTGATTACCCAAGAGCAAAGTTTTTAGTTTTATATATTTTATAATTTCAGAACTAGAATTAGGAAAAGAGGATGAAATAGATGCAGAATTGGAGAGAGAAAAAGAACCCATGAAGATAGAAGGAAAGAGAGTCAGAAAGAAAGAAACAGAGTGCAAATTCGACCCATATATAACCAAAATTGTGAGAAACCCAAAAAAACACAAAGACGTGATGATGTGGTTGTGCCACGTCAAAGTTGAACCAATCAGCTTTTAAAAATCGAACGATCTTTCATTGTTCTGTCTTGAATTGGTAGGGTTTGGATAAAGAATAAGGCAACTAGAATATTAGGGTTTGAGAGAGGAGAGAGAGTCACAGCCTTGTCGCCGTTCTCCATGGTCATCACCTGGTCTATTGCCGTCACTGATGTCTCTGTTCATTGGCGAAGTAGTCACTACGGTAGCCGAACATTCTGCTCGCTGCCCTCCTTCTTTCTATCTCTACCCCTCTCTTCCTATTCTACTATATACACACAGCGATGGTGGTGGTTCGCCGGTAGAGGTGTGGCGGCGGTGGTTTTAGTAAATTAAATAGGTTCGTTAGTCCATTTGATGGTCTGTCATTAGGTAGGGAGGTCCGTGTAGGATAGTTTCATTTTTAGGGGAGGTCCATGTAATTCCCAAACTTGAGGGGAGAACCATGTAATTATGGCAAACTATATCATATATTGAAAACACCAACCATTGTTTTTTTGAGATATTTGACAAAATAAAATTAAATCAAGTAATTTTTATTTTTAATTGCTTAACTTATTAAATCATTTCCAAAAGTTATTATAGTAGGACTATTTGAATTCACCTTTTTATAGGTATTATCAACCTACAAAATATCAACTATCGACCTAGATCTAATATACTTATTTTGAGGGTTTGTATGTGTGTGGTGGTTATTTATTGGATGTTTTAGGAGGTTAGGATATTATCATCATTAACAAAAATAAGAATAAAATTAAAAAAATAAAGGGTAAAGTACAGTAACACCCCCTAAGGTTTGCCAAAAGGACACACATATACAAGTTACCCTATTTTTGGACAATGACACCCTTTCAAGTATGAAAAAATGGACAAAGAGACTCTGACAATGATGAATTGAATTTATTACACTTTGATATAAAATTGACATTTTAATTGACTTAAATACCCTTAGATCAAACCTAACCCAAACCCAAACCCGAACAAGCCTCTCTCTCTTTCTCTCTATATGTAAATATCTATATATACACACATTACATATACTGCCGACACCGCCACCACACCTCAGCCTCCCCCGCCGCCTCCGCCGCATCATCATCACACCTCAACCACCGCAACCGCCGCCGTATCATCATCATCATACCTCAGCCTCTCGCCCCTCTTCTCTGTATGTATGTATATATATATATATATATATATATATATATATATATATACATACATACACACACACACACTACATATACTACCGCTACCACACCTTAGCCTCCCTCGCCGTCGCCACCGCATCATCATCACACCTTAGCTGCTGCAACCGCCGCCGTACCATCATCATCATACCTCAATCTCTTTCTCTCTTTTTCTCTGTCTATGTATATACACACACACACACTACATATACCGCCGCTACTGTAATGACTCGGTCATTTTCATTCCTTTCCATTTTCTCAAATTTTACGGATATTTTTTTTCCATTGATTTTTCCTTTCCGAGTTTGGGTTTTCGTCACATTGTGTTGTTTCGAGTACTCGGTAATAGTTTCCGAGACTCTTTCTTTTGGTTGACAGTGTCATTGAGAGGAGCGTGTCAATTTCACACTTTCATTTTTTTTTTACATTTTTCTTTTTTGTCTTTTTCCTGGCTTCGTTTTCTTTTGCGTAACCTATTGGGTTGTGCTCGGATTTGATCCCGGCTTTGCATTCATCCATTATACTTGATTTACATGTGATACACATTTTTACTTTGTAGTAAAGCATACTAGATGTTTACTTTTACTCATAGGGGTGTAAATGCAAAGATTTTTATAAATTATTTTCTTTACTTTGGGTATTTTTCATAATTATCTTTTGATGATATTTTGTATTTAGGGTATTTATAAATGTATCTTTTGAATGACATTTCATTTTGGGTTTTTTGGAAAATTCACTTTTTGAGTTATCTAGTGGAGTGGTCTTTGTGTAATTATGGAAAGTTTTTGAAAAAGTTTCGTGTTTTGAGTTCAAATCTTTGTGAGGGGTTCCTTTTCATTTTTTATTGACTTTGGAACTTCCAGATAATTTTTTGGATTTTTATTTCATTTATTTTGGAATTTCTTATCCTGTTAGTTGTCAAACTTGTCCGGGGCATATCTCCTCGCTCGGGACTCGATTTTTGACTCCATTTCTTTCATTGATCTTAGAATTCCATTTAAAAACTTTTTCATTTACAAACTTTCTTCATTTGAGTACATCTTGACAATTTTCACTTTTTGGATCCGGGCAAAACCCGTTCGGACTGTTCTGGACTCCTTTCTGACCTATTTTAAGTAGGTGGACGAGATAGAGAATCACTTTTTCATTTCTTCTCCTCTAACCCTGTTCAGCCGCCATTAGAGGACCTTGGGGGCTGCCTCTCTCTCTCTCTCTCCTCTTTTCATCTTTTTCCTTTACGATTCTCCTCTCACCGATGAAGACTTTTTTGATGGCCTTGACGACGCGGTGATTTCTATCTATCTGGATTTCGATTTTGAGAACTTTGAGTTTTTGGGTGTTGGTTCAAGCTTGGATTTGGGTGTTGTCACAAGAGGATTTCTTGCTCTACTCGTTGTTCCCGTCATAACCCCGAAGTTTCATCGCATTCGGAGTAGTTTAATTTTGGTGTGATTTGAGATTTTCATCTCAAAGTGAGGTAGGGGGTGTTTCATGTTTATAATCTTAGTGTTTTACATGTTTTTGAGGTTTATATAACTTGTATAAATGTTTATACTTTAGATCTAGAAATGGGTTTAGATTTAAATAAATGATGATTTAATTTCATAGTAGATTAAACTAAAAATATGATATTAAATTAGCCCATCACTTGTTGTTCAACATATATTAATTTTGGAATTTTTGGATGAGTTTGAAATATAGAGATTTTAATTAAATAAATTACTTAACATTTAATTAATTATTTTTGCGACTTAATTAGACTTTTGATTTGATATATGTGATAATCATTGTATGTTTCTTGATATATATTAATTCCATGTCATTTGAAGCTATTTTGTATTTTAGAGAAATTACTTAATCTTGTTTAATTAATTTCTATTTAATTGTTCTATGGTTTAATTATGTCTTTGATGTTGTTCCATGCTTATAATATTGCATGCCATGGAAGTTGAGGACTTAGAGCATGTCTTGTGTGCTTCCAAAACTTGATTGTGTATGGTACTTGGTTAAGTGCATTTGATATACGTGTATATACGTTGTTGCACAATTTATTGATTTTGGAAACTTGGGGATGTCGTAAGATAGACTATGGCTAGGGCTCGGCTCTAGTATGGGGGATTTAAGAGCCCTCTACT